CGGCTCGCGGAAGCGTGTTGCCGCTCGCCTTCCTTCTGTGCCGGGGTGGGCCGCGGTAGGCCCGGGCGGCCTCTGCCGCTGCCCTGGCCGCGGGACGCGCCCGGCTTTCCATTAGCGTGCTCCCGGTGACCTCCCTCTCTTCCCAGGGCCGTGGCTGCGGTGGAGCAGCTTCGTGCGAGTGGAGCGTGCAGAACGGTTCGGAGTTCCCCCAGTCAAAGGTGGCCATAATCATGATTAGTTTCTGTAAGTTTCGACTTCTGGCTCTCGTCAAATTGTTTCCTTAAATAGGTGTCGCTTTAAAATGACTGTTTGTTCTGTTACCAGAATGCATGGCAGCTTCTGCTCTCCCATGTTAGAAAAGGGATAGCTCAAGTTATGTATTCGTATATAACTGTGTCTGCTGCAATCTTTCAGATGATCTGAATAATAGTAACAAACCCCACTGCACTCATCTAGGCAGCTGTAGTGCTAAACTATTGTGGTTTATATCAAAGTATTAAAAAGTGTTTGATATTGTTAGAAGAAACAAACTGATTTTAATGTTTTAATACTGAATAACTAATCAAAATATCGTTGACTATCCAATTGTGAATCATTCTAAATTGCACCTGCAATGTATTTGTGAGGTTCAATCCAGAGCAAAACCACCGCAGTATTATTAGTTGAACCCTTTTAAAACATATCTCTAAACATATATCCGAGAAGTCTTCTGCCAGTGTGCTGAATCATTGTTATTTTTCTAAGATAACTGATAAATATGTTGCTCAAAAATAAAAAAGAATACAAACTTTTCGTGTTGAATGATGCTTACTTTTATTGTTGCATGTATATCTGATAAAAGCCACTTTAATAACAGATAATCCATCCCAGTGCTCTATCAGGAAATGGACTGGGACCAGTTCGACTTGAACCCTAAAGTAGTTGCTGCCCTTAAGAAAGGTAACTTAATTTGCAAATGTCTCACTGATAGATCTGTCACCATAGTGTCTTCCTTTACATAACCGTGTTTGTGGGTGTAAGCATGTAGATGTACAGTAACATTTTAGAACTGTAATTAAGTATTTTCGTAAGCAAGTTTTTTGAGTAATTGGAAGTGATATCTTTTCCCCATGCTCTGGTAATAATTTTCCAAACAATTTCATAGCAAGTGTCGATACATTGAAAGTAAATGTTGCCTGCCTAGCTTACAAGAACACAATGTAGATAAACTTCAAGTAAATGATTAGTAGAAAGTGGGAAAACTTTTGTTCATAAGACTGTAATCCAGCCAAAAATATTTATGAAGATTCTTCTAATTTCAGCTGACATAAAATCAATAAAACAGATTTTAAATCTTTCTGGAGCAGACTTGCAAAGATTGATGAAACTATCCAGTGCAGATATACAGTGCTTACTGAAAACAGTCTCTCACACGCTGAGGAGAAATAGTATGATTACAGGTAATACATTCAATACCAAGAAAGTGTTCTATTTAAATCTTGAAATGTTATCACTGGGAGAATATAAGGCTTTGGCTCCATATTGACAGAGTAATGCATAGTGAAAATGAAAAGACAAGTGATGTTGTTATGCTGTAGTGAATTATTTAACTGTCCTAAGGACAGCTCCTCTGAGACCTTGAAGGTAGGTGGAAGACGATGAGTGTCATTCTTCAGGATCAAGCCAGCCTGAAACAGGACAAATGATTTTCCAGTCCAGAAAACTTGATTAGAGGAAAAAAAGATTATCTCTCTCTTTTGGACAAAGACTAGATGAAAAACTTACATGATATATTATAAACTATATAAACTGATTTGATATTAACACCTCATTCCAAACCAGGCAGAACCTAATAGCTCCTCCTGTACAAATGCTTCGTGGCAGCTGTGTACTTAGAATTTATTTTCTTGTGATTTGCCTGTAGCTTCAGGCCTTGGCAGGATGCCTGGTACGCTGTTTCATAGTCTCCTACAGCTTCCTATTTCCATAATTGCTGTGCTTGAACCTTGCTGGCAGTATTTTCTCAGAGTGTAGCTTTCCACAGAAATTCCTTAGAGGCAGAGAAAGGAAAACAAGTTTGAGAAAAGGAAAGGGCTTAGTGTAAACTATCAATTTTTGAACAGGCATTCAATTAGTAGACCCTGTGGAGGTGGGGAAGACTAGGCTGAATTAGAAAAAATTCCCATCGGTAAAGAAAGCATCCCTTGTAGATATAAACATGGTTGTATACCTCTGTTTTGTATCATTCTGTGTTAGAAAGATACTAAAAGAAACTTTTTTTTTTCTTTTTAATCATTAAAAAATCCAAAACTCTGCAGCACTTCAGCTCTACCAAGATAAAGATCATCTCACCTCCCAACACCAGAAGCTAAGCCTAGGATGTTCAGTATTAGATACCTTGTTAAAAGGTGGCATTCCTTTAGTGGGAATCACAGAACTCGCTGGGGAAAGTTCTGCTGGGAAGACTCAGATTAGTTTACAGCTGTGCCTTTGTGTGCAGTATCCTTACAAATATGGTGGATTAGAGTCTGGTAAGTACTGAAATGTAAATACTGATTAATTTGACATTTAGAGGAATATACTGTCTTTAAGAACCTCCTCAGTGCATTAAAGTAGATGCACATATTCAGTGCATGTCTTACCCTTCTGCAATAGCATTAGTAGTCAGCTAGTTAGTAAAGCATCTTGATAGAGAGAAAAGCAAGCATGCTGTGCACATGTCCTGCATCACAACATAATTTAATACAATAGAACTGTTGGCTGTTGTTTACCTGCCTGCCACTGTGGGTTAAACTAGACACATGCAAACAATATGTGAAAAGTCTTGCTGTAATAAGTACTTGACTCCTCAGCTAACAGCCACAGCAAAACAGCCTTGTCAGATAATTTTCCACAGACATCTTGGGTATATGGTATATATTAGTTGGAGGTTTCAAATTTCAAAGAACATGTAGTTTGGTAACAATAATTAAAGTGATTTACAGAGTAAAATTGATGGAAATCTAATTGAAGAAAGCTAGTGTTGTTTCACACCTGTGATTTGCCTCGTTTTTCTGAAGTAAGTAGGTTTATTCTTTGATTAGAATATGGGGGTTTTAACCATCTATCACATTAACTACTTTTTTTTTTTTTTAAGTATCATGTGGTGTCTTGGAAAGGGAGTAAACTTGTGTCACTCCTGAGAATTCAGTGTCCTGGTAGCTTGCCTTAGGTGTGTTCTGGCTGTGATCTTGCTCTTACTTCCATGCAGCACTGGGTTTAATTTGGCAGCTCAGTGGTTTGTTGTGGGGAAAATTAATTATTTCTTGTACTATATCTGCCCATGTGGAAAAATCATGGACTGTTCAAATGAAGATCTTGCTTAAAGGGCAGTAATTAGCTCATGGCTTACGTAACTTTGCTTTAAGTTACGTCATTAACAGAGCAGAAGCAAATATATTTTGTTCAATTCCTTCATGTGTTGCTGCTAACCGCTGCAAATAGTTTGAATGCAACACTTTTATTCATGCCCTGGCATTCCTCCCTATTTATGTTGAAAGAATGGAACAAACTAGAACAGAGTACAGAAGGAGGTGCCCAGCATCCTAATGGCACTGTTGTCTCTTGTACCAGACTACAGTCTTCCTTGTAGGGCTACAAAATGGCACGTCTTTGTTATTTGTGTTTGAAGATGGTTCTTGTTTCTTATGCACTTTGGTGCCATTACGATTGTTTTGTCGTGTCTGCGTTCCCCATCTACTCCCTCATAAATGTTTCACAGAAGATAGAATGGCCATCGTATCAGTGCTCCTGTGAGAGAGCCAGAGCGTTTTGGAAGGGCGGAGAGGGCAGAACTTTTGAGGATCTTGAAGGTATAGAAGGTGGAAATGCCCTGCTTGCTGGAGTTGGAGAGCTAAGGGAGCAGTGGAATCCTAATGCTCGCTGTTTTTAATTCTGTGGTATCTTGCCATATGTTAGGCTGCATACAGTCATAGCAGCAGATACTGTTTGCATAGCACTTGGAAAATGAAACTTGATTTCTTTGCAGTCTATAAATAAGGGTTCTGTTGAGTCTCTTATGTGAAATACAGAAATGAAAAGCTTATGTTAAGTATGAGGAGTTTTATTCTTTAGGAAACTTGAGAACAGTGCTTAGTAACTATCAAAGAAGTCTAGCACTGCCAACAGGAGGGTAATCTCCATGCTAAAACTTTGCTAATGGTTTAAAATTATGGTGGGCTGGGGTTTCTTTTAGTGCTAGAAACTTCCCTTCTTTTAGGTGGTGATGTTGAAATACATTTATTTAGACAGTATTTTTTAGTTTTGACTTAGTGCTAGTCTTGTTTACAATTCTCAATGCTAGGAGGTTGGCAGCAAAGAAAGAAAATAGGACATCCTTTGCCTCCAGGTTATCTCTCTGCCATTCTAACAATGTCAGTTATGGTCAATCACATGTTGGCTGTATTTATTTTAGGTGCCCATGTTAATAACACATGAATATAATGTGACATTCTTACCCATATTAGAATTCTGAATTAGAAAAAATTGCTACTGATTCCTGGTAACAAGTTGATTTGGTGCATGACAGATTATGTTCATAGGACTCAAACTTTGAGGGTGGGGTTTTTTAGTGTTTTTTTTACTTTTCGTTGGTTTTGGGGTGGTTTTTGGTCAACAACCAGCATAGCACTTCTGTCAGCCTAAGTAACAGGAAAGCACTGAGATTTGATGAAATGGCTGATTTCTGTTTGGGTTTTTTGTGGATCAGTGAGGAAAGATGCTTATATGACCACTGAGGACAGCTGACTCAAGTGTATTTCTTAGCTTCTTTCTCAAAACTGCTAACTACTCTGACTCTTGACTTGTTTGCAGTGTTGACAGCTTCCTAATCAACTATAAAAAGCACAATGCCATAGGCTTTTCTGTTTGTGTTGTACTAGTCTCCTCTATTTAGGTTATGAATATTTACGTATCTTTCAAGATAAGTGAATCGTAAGTACTTCTGCCTCGTAATTCAGCATCGGTCTTTAATAGTGAGTTTAATTATTTGTCAGTTTCTTCTAGGCCTTGTAACTTTGCTATGAAGCACTTCCTATATTTTTAATGTACAGGTGTGTGCATCAAATGTTCCACTGCGGTTCAGGCTGAAGTTCCTAGACAAAAGCTGAAGAGGATTGACGAAGGTCCAGTAGGAGAGAGTGCTATTCCCATTCTAATGTGAAACTCAGATTTTAAGCCAGGGCAAAGCTCATCTGATATATTTTCTGTGGCTTAACTTTCTTAAAGTTCAAGATGAGAATTACATAACTGTTTTGTGAAAAGAGCAGCACGTAAAGAAAAAAAAGTTGTCCCACAGTATATTTTGGAGAAATCACAAATGGACCAGTTACATACTCAGACTACATTATCTGCTGTAGTAGATTTAACTGGTGTCAAAGAAGTGTTACAGTGGAGTAGAAGATTGGCAGGTGACTTGGTCTTTACAAAACTAAACTGAGGCAGGAAATAGTCTGTGAAGTAGAACTGTCCTTAAGAAGGAATTAATCTTCTTGATCTTTTCAAGTGTTGCACTAAAAAAAAAAACTGATTAAGTGTGTTCACTTGAACTTTTAAATTGTTGTCATGATTTTACAAAGAGGATAGTATGTATCTATTGATCAGGAATTTTAGATCTAAGTTGCTGGACCAGTGGAGCAGGGAGGACCATATTTTTGCTTCTCCAGCTGTTCTTTTTTGCCTACAGGTATTGCAGCTGTAGGATTACCTTGTTTGCCTCAATTTAATTGTTCGTCAGGTATAAATGTGAAACTGGACCACTACTGCATATGTTCGTAATACAATAAGGTTGCTTCATCATGTTTTACTCTTCTGCTTTTGCCTTGTGTTTGTTGTTTACACCGTTCTTATTACTGTGCTGAAATTATCTGCAAGGAAGATCTTTAGGAGAATTTTACGTTTCTTTTTCTCCAGATAAATTAACTGGGGGGAAAAGAGGTATTTTTTCAGCAAGCTTCTCAGGTTTTCTGGTTTGAAATGTCTTGAATATTGCAATAACTGGATCTAGATACAACTATCTAATCAATGGAACGTCAGTCTATCTAGAAATAGAAATCTGTATTTGAAAAAACAACCACCATGAAGCCTTAAGTAATGGACGTTGCATCCTTTTTAAGTAAAGCCAGGAGAGGACAAAGGCCATCCTGAAAAATCAGACCTGCCTTAAGCAGTAAGTAGATGATTTCTCTGTAAGCCAGTATTCATGGTAAAGAAATCCCTGTCTTTCAGAATTAGGCAATATTGTGCAAAAGGCAGTGGGCTGTGAATAAGAATGGTAGTCGAGAAGTCCAGAATGTTTTACTTCAGCACCTATTAATTTACTGTGCTACCACAAGTTAGCATAGCTTTTGTTAGTATGAAATTGAGAAACCACATGGGCTTAAGGAAGCTGTATATCATGGTTGGGTTTTCTTTATTTCTTTGCTTACTTGGTTTTGAATTTGCACCATAATGATTTTTCAGTTTTGTGGTGTGTTGCAAGACATAATTGGCTTATCTGAATGAGACTTGGTGCTAGATATAAATAATGTCAAATTTGTGATTAGAAATTTTTTTTATTTACCAGCTTTTTAGAAATTGTGAAACTGAAAATCTCATTAGGAATGCATGAACTGCCCATAGTAAAGATGCTCACCTGCCTATTTGATACTCGGCTGTCACTGTCAAATTGGAGAATGGTATGAAAATTAGCCTAATTAGGAGAAATGAACCTAGGGAAATAGTCAAGAAAGTTATGGTTCACCTAATTAACTTTTTAATAGTTATTTTAAAAGCCCTAAGCAGTTAAGTGATATAACTAATAGTTTACTGTGCTTTCCTCACTTGAGCATCATACAAGTTCAGACAGTATTCAGAAAGCTGCTGTCACTGTAAATTTAATGGATTCAAGTGATTGTGGATATATTTTCTCTTCTTTAATTTTCATTCATTGCTGATGGAAATTTGCATATGTGCTCATCTGTGTCTACAGATATTGTGTATGACATCAGTTGTTGTAATACAGCATTTATGCCCACAGTTTAAAATACAGAATTCCATCCACTCTAATGCTAGAGAGATGTGAAAAGCACGGAAAGTATTAATGGTTTCACTTTAGTTTATATGTTAAGGAATCATTATCAGATTATTACTGCTCTGATCATTAATGCTTTATTGTAGTCCTTATTCACTACCAGATGTTGTAAACTGCTAATAACCCTCTGTTCTCTCTGACATTAAGTATATACTTAATGAAACTGGGAAATTAAGAATAGACACTGAATATTCTGGTGATAAATGCTAATGGCTGCCAGGGCCAAGGAAAGTAAAACGGAGCTGAAGTATAATTTGAATCTGTTATTAGGTAGGATGGAAATAGAAATTGTGGAAACATTTCAGTACCTCCTGTGAAAGGCATGGATGATGATGAAGTATTTTTCCATGTGTTAATAATTTAAGAAGATTTTTAATCTCACCTGTCAAAGGCAATTTTTTTAATTAGTGGCCATTGGTAATTTTTTTTTTACTTTGCCTGATAGCTTTCTGAGTATTTAAAAATAAGACTGGGTATTGGAAAAGTAGGGTTTTTTAATGTTTCACATGTGAAGGAGGGTGGTTTAGGTAAGAATTTACAGTGCAGTTGGGGAGAGTTAAACTGAAGTTACAAGTCTACTCCTAAAGAAAACTGGGCTTAGGCTCATCTTTGTTTCGTATAGAAGATTTTCAGAATTCAATACCCTGTGTTATACATGTGTCCATCAGTAAAATATTTGTATTGGTAAAGTAACCATTTTTAATTGACTCAGTCCTGAGATCTTTCTGTTTCTGCTATTGGGTACAGTTTCATACTTTTTTCAGTGGACTGTATAGAGGAAGTTGCATCTGGAAATGGGACTTTCTGCTCCCTGGAGAGCCAGTGTAGGGATGGACCACTGAGGTGGATGTGTTCAGGATGTGTCATATTGCCAAGCACATCACCTGCCAAGCTGTGTTAGCAGCTTCAATCACTTTAGTGAGGAGTCTTAATTCTTAGATGTAGCCCTGCAAGTATTAGCTGATAATTCTGGGTAGTTCTGCAATAACAGCAACAATTTTTAATAGAAAAAATTATGCACATATTACTGTTTTCTTTCCCCCATATCTTTGATGTCTATGGTTAATTTTCTCTGCAATAAAGCATACTTATTAACCAGAAATCATGGTAAAAATAGATATCACGCATAGAAATGGGATTGAAGTATAATGTTTTTTATCTAATTTGCCATTTTCACAGAGTTAATTGGACTGAGGTTGGACGAGTGATCCTCTTTAAACTGGCTTAAAATTGTGAGAATAAGTATCCCTTTGTATGTAAATTTTAAAACAAGAAACTTGAAAACAGTGAAATTAATCAAAATGCTAGTACTGGTGTTGCTGGAATAGTTGTCTTCATAGTATAGTGCTGTGTTTTGGATTTCTGACCCAAACAGGCAAACTGTCCCATATCACTCTATTTATGATACTCGTAATCACCCAAGTTAGGTGGTCAGGTGTTCCACAGCTGTGCAAAATGAGTGTCACCTAGTGGAGAGTGTGAAAATCCAACTCTGTCAGCAGACACCCAGAAAAGGAGCTGGCAACTACAGGAGTCATAGGAGTGGGGGTTTTTTTGTTGATTCAGTATGGCTGAAAAAAAAAGTGTCATGAATTTCCAGATACGTGTCTAGCACTTGAGTGCGGAATGTATTACTTTATTTTTGTGCTGTTAAGAAGAGTGTGTAAGAGCCCTGCTGTGATAATAGAGGTGGTTTCGTTTACTATAGGAGCTGTCTACATTTGTACAGAAGATGTATTCCCAAGTAAACGTTTGCAACAACTCATAGATCAACAACATAAGCTGCGTGCAGATGTTCCAGCTGAAATCATACAGAAGATCAAATTTGGAAACAGCATTTTTGTTGAGCATGCAGCAGATCTAGTAAGTAGTAGCACAAATGAAGAATGCATAATTTTTACACTATAATCCAGTAACCACAGGGGGTTTTTTGATATAGGAGACCTTTCAAAAGGGTAAGAGTAAACTAAGATCTGTAATGAATACTACTTAATCTCTGCAGTTTGCTGTTAGAGAACTGTCTATGCTGTGTTTTATTATGAAATATATTAAAATATATCATCAGCTTGTGTTTCAGCGACGATACCTGTAGTTACTGTCTTGATTTTACAGATAGTTATTTGAACTGTTTTAATGATGGCTGTTTGTTTGTATTTTGTGGTAGGATACCTTTCACAACTGCATTACTAAAAGGATTTCCCTGCTGCTCACAAGAGGCATGGTGCGGTTGGTGGTCATAGACTCTATTGCTGCTTTGTTTCGATGCGAATTTGGAGTTTCAGATTCTGTTATGAAGGCTCGGTATTTGCAGACATTTGGAGCAGAGCTTCACAGTTTAAGCACTAGATTCAGGACTCCAATAATGTGCATTAATCAGGTATGACATCAGAATTGCTTCTCATTTTATAGGGACCATTTAATAAATGGCTGGAGTGGGGAAAATGTATATGCAGATTTCTTGGTGTATATAACACTGTCAACTAAGTATTAATGACTGGTGAAAATTGAAGTTTCCTTAAACTGGTGTACTTTAGTGAATTTTAACTTTTCAAGGTTTAAGAATATCATTTAAGCTTTTATAGATTTTTAATGTTCTCAAAGGTTGTCCAGTAAAGCTAATGAAAATAGATAGGTATAGCAACTGCATAAAGCATCAAACTAAAATAACAGAGTTCTTTCTTAACACTAGCTTCAAATGCCACCACCAGCAGGTTTGCTCTGGGAACACTACACACACAGTTATATTCCACATATACAGGAGACAGTGAAACACCAGGGACTTTGCATTTTTGTGAAGCTCAGCAGTTTTGTATAACTGCTGAGATCACTAAAGCATTAGAATGCACTCAGGCTAGCTCGAGCTGAACCAGAAAAAAGGCCACAATGATGCTAGTAAAAAAGAATATTCTTTAGAGAAAATTAGACAAGACACAACTTCTGTAGAAGCAGCATGCCGCTGTTCCTAGCCTAATCATGAACCAAAGGATCATGTGAATGCTGGAGAGGAAGCGTTCACAGTTGGAATGTGGCCTGAGGAAACATGCAGGTAGGCCACTGCTGGGAAACTTTCTGGAAGGCCCCTCCATCAAACAAGTAAGTACTCAGCCCTGAGGTTTCCTTCTCACAACAGAAGACAAGGGGTGGGGAGAAAAGTTGAACTTGAAGTCACAAACAAGAAGAATTCTGTATCAGGAAGAAAGATTCTAGAAACGTCAAGTAACTGTTAACACGTTTGTTTCTGTTCTGGAGGAGGAGTTCTGGAACTGAAGAATGGACAGTGTATAAAATCTTACATTTACTGCTACAACTGGAAGGGAGTGTTTTGGAATTCAAACACAGCAGCAATTTGAACAGCTTGCAATTTTTATTTTCAGTAAGATTTTAATTTTAGCCTCAATACTCCTAATTTTTTAACCAACTTTTTCTTACATCACCTTTCGTAGGGTCAGCTAGCTTCTAAGGAAAACAGATTTCTGTAACTACTTTCTGAATTTTGGTATTAGTAGAGACTGTTTGGGAAGTGTAGTTTGGATTTTGCTCTTTGTTAAGCAAAGGCTTGTGTGTTTTCAGCATTTACACTATGAATCCAACCAATGGGTTCAGTTTCCTTGGTTAGCTTCTGGGATACTCTATGAGTATGGGCATCTGGAAAAGACTGGCTGCCTTTTTCCTGGGGGCTTTGAGGATCCATCTAGCAGGCAAAAGAAGGTCTGATTTAAGGGTAAAAGAGAAGTCTGAATGTATCCAATCTCTACCTTGGAATGGTTCAGCATGAGAGGGAAAAAGAGTGAGTTAAGAGAGCTTCTGCCTTCCCATGACAGGAATTTCAGGCTGGTGCTGGCTCATAATAGAAGAGGTCGCTGCCTAATGCTGAGTGACAATACGGACCATTTGCTAACAAAGGGTCCTGCAAGACTATTCTAAAGGAAGGTGACTCAGCTATGAATATAACAGCACTGAAAAAGATTATGGCTGTTAAGTAATCTGTTCTGTAC